ACAGACCGCTTCACCGATCTCAGATTCAAGCCTCTGCAAGTATCGAAACACGTCAGCAGAAGATATCTGAGTGTCCGCGCTGCTGTCCATCAAACTTCTACCCCCGGACGAGAAAATCTACAAAACATTGGGGGTCCCACCCACCTCACCCTGAGAGCAGAAATGTTTCAGAGAAACAAACTTCACATGAGCTCCAAGGGAAAAACATGACATGCCCTAATTTATTTCACATGAAATAAATTTGTTTTGCAGGGAAATAAAAACTCATCCGTGCACGCTCGGAGTTTGTTCTAAACAATCAAGAACCAAAGACCACGATATACCAAAACACACGTCTAAAAGCGAAAGAAAGGGAGAGCCACACCCAATCCAAAATCGCTGGTGGCACTAGAAAATCGCTGGTGGCCTGCCCAAGATCGCTGGTGCCCTAGGAACAGCGCTGGTAGCAAAATCGCTGGTGCCTTGCGGAAATCGCTGGTGGCTACAGGAAATCGCTGGTGGCTACAGGGAATCGCTGGTAGCTAATGGAAATCGCTGGTAGCTACCCAAGATCGCTGGTGAGCCCTGGAAATCGCTCATGGCTCACTGGCAGCATTTCCTGGCACGTCCTGAAAATCTTTGGGAAAATTGCAGTGTTCCTTCAAAACTATAGATTTATTTCATTCGGTTGGAAATCCTATGGTTTGTGGTGGTTTTATAGGTTTCTTTCCTCAAAACCAAGATTTGCTCGATTTTCTATGAAAATGGAGGTTTCTGGCTGCAAAAGACGATTCTGGTTGCAAGACTGATCAAAACCAGGAATTTGCCTGGTTTCGGTTGAAAATTGAGGTATCTGGCTGCAAAACCACAAACCGAGCTGTTTTCCTCTGAGCCTGTGACTCCCGACGGGTTTTGAGCCTTCCTTTCCTGCATTTGGTTTCAACGGTGTCCTCTTGTGTCAACAATAGGCCTGGCATTAAAATTAGTTACCTCACTTGAAGTCAAGTAAACCTTGCTGACCATGTGCACAACAGAAGAGTGACTAACGCAAGGCAACATGTTCACTCACATCGCACATCAGCAACACTTGCTCGACATCGCAATCCATGTCTGTGCAGCAAGGCAACAAGACATGTTGACACAGTCCACGACTGAAAGGCTCGGCTGCACTATTGTTTCTCACGCAATCACGGAAGTCCATGAGCTCACGAGCTGGAGCTTGATGAGCTCGATGAGCTCGAGTCAGAAGAACTAGAGGAATCACCAGAAGACTCTGAAGCATGTTCATCTGACGGCGGATCTGAGGCAGCCTCATCACTGGGGCTGGCTGCCCGAGCCTTTGCCTTTGCTTTAGGTTTGCCCTTTGGCTTGGGCTTCGCTTTAGCCTTGGCCTTCGGGGCCCGGGCCCGGGCTGCTGCGGCATCCAGTTCAACATCTGTCTGCACAGCATTGGGCGCAGGCATCACAGCAACCTTGGCATTGAGATAGCTCCAGGGCGGACAGCTCTCAATCGGCAGCGGCGCCACCAGGTGCTTCCGCTGCCGGTCGAAGTCACGAGCCATTGTGCACCACCAGGCAAGTCGCCTGAGGGACTTGTCCTTGGCTTCTTCGGTTGCGCTTTCCAGACTAAGGAACCTCTTGCAGCCTGTGGCATTGCTCTTTTTGTGATACAAGCAAGTGGCCTGCACACCACCATGTTTGCCGCCCTGCCCTGCTTTCTTCACTGTCAACCGGAAATGACCGAAGAAGCCGTTCTCCAAGCGGGGCCCCGCATTCTCAGCAACAGCTGCTATTGGCTCTGCTCCATCTCCATCTCGTTGCCTGCGTTGCCGGTGTCTAACTGGTCTAACTGCTGGAGCAGGCTCTGCTTCACCAGAGTCACTCGAAAGTTCATCGTGGCCGGGAGGGCCGGGAGGATCGGCAGCCGGCTCTGCTGGCACATCCACCCGATCTTCGTCTTCGTCCAGCAGTTGCTCCAGCATCAGAAGGATGTCGTCTTCTTCTTGGTCATTCAACGCAGCAGCCTCTTCACCAACAGGCCCAGCACCGCCGCCAAGATCTTCCAGCAAATCTCCAAGTCCGCCGACGGGCTCCTCGCGGCGTGCCGCTTCTTCAAGAGTCTCAATGTCAGGCGGCACATCCTGTAACTGTGGCAGCATGCCGCGAAAATCACCCTTCAAGACTGCTTTATAGCAGCCTTCCTCCCGCCCGTGCTCAATCGCCGGCAGCCCCTTGTCAAAACACTCCTCGGCTTTCAGAAGCACCACCAGGTATGAATGGCTCGGAGACTCACCAGAGTAAAAGACTTTGCGACCGCCTCTGGTGTAAGGATCGAAAGTCTGGCCAGCAGCAGCCATGCGCCGAGTTCTTTTTGACACCGGCACCCATCGTTGCCACTCCCAGCGCTCGTCTGTCAGAGCAAGCAGCAACTCGAAAGTGCTCCGGTCTGCCAGAGGCAAGTCGTCGCGAACGCGGAAAACTCTTGATGGTCTGGACAATGCCGAGCAGCTGCAGAGTTCTTGGGCTCCTAGTTCTGTGAAAAACCATCGGAAATCCTCATCACCGGCCTTTGTCACAAGCCCGTGACGCTCTAACGTCTGTAGCACCAGGACCTGCTCGGGCAGCGCCGTGTAACCCAAGGATGCTTCATTCATCTCGTACGCACCTGCTGCAACCAGACCCTGCAACAACTCGTGGAGCTGACCATGCTCGAAACCGAAAGAGCTGCTGTTCTGAAGTGTCCAAGCAAGGTCAACAGCATTCCATCTCCGCATGCACGTTTGAATCTCGTCGATGTTGCCCACCAAGCCGCTAAGCAAAAACTGCCCACCTACGTCATCCATGGCAGCTGAAGGTCCGCTGACCAGCGCATCGTCACCAGTCAGTACATCCTGACTGCGAAGGACCTTGTGCGAAACAACCACTGCACCCTTGGCAAGTCTCCCCCCAGCACCTACGGCCGGTCGAATGACCTTCTTGTCTGCCGGGTTCTTCATCACAATCTGAAATGTTATGGTGCTGGGTGGCGCCTCACCATCATCCACATCAGGCGGAAGCAGATCCTCGACCTGCGGCAGTTGAGCTTCAACGCGTGGTCGCTTGGAGAGTGGCTCAGTCAGAGCAGCTGAGACAGATTGAAGGTTGAGGCAACTGCTTGGGCACGTGTAAAAGCATGCCCCCTCAACTTCATCATCGTGAAGCAGCAGCATGTGGGACTGCATCGCACTTCGCAACAATGACTCATGAGTGAGTGCTCCGACGGGTTCACGGTCCACAAGCTTCAGCTGCCGACTCATGGTCTTTCGTTTCAACTTGTCATGCTCCCGGGCCAAGGTGTCGTGCGATTCATACATGCTCTGAAGATCACAGCGGTACATAATCCTTGCAAGACTCACGCGCATTACTGCAGGGCGTTTGAAAAAGTCGTCTTCAATCGCAGGATGGTTAGCAATGTTCAGCAGGCTGGGAACCGTCTTGAGCGAGCGGCACTGATTGAAGAAATCAAGGAGTTCTTTAGCAGAAACATGGCCTCGCCTCATCCACCTCTCCAACAAAGGAAGTCGATTTGCAAGAGAGATACGAACAGGGCCAATGTGATGCCGCCGCTTGCTCATCGCCACGCGAGCATGCTTCTCTTCAATAGTGGTTTCAACCACTGGGGCAAATCGCCACGCTGCAACGTGCATCAAGAATGTACTGGACAAATCCTGAAGCTCTGCCCCACCTACCCATTTTTGCAGCGAGTCCATAAAGGGCCCTGGGCACAGGAGTTCTGATGTGATGCGGTGATGTGCCTCTGGACGTGGATCCTGTGCCCACTGATCTAAAACCTGCTGACCCATCTCACGGGATGTCTGCTCACAAGTGTGGGCCAGGCCTGCAAGAAGCCACGGCAGCTTCTGCAAATACGTGGTCTTCATACGTAGCAACAGGAGCATCTTGGTCTTGCCTGCGCCCACACAGACTGACAGACTAACAATGTCGAACGAATCATGCCCTTGCCATGCCATGACACAAGGACATAAGCCCTACTTACCCCTGGACCTTCACCTTCACTCACCGAGCCTCACCTCTGCATCTACATACATCAAGCTGAAACTACCTTGCTTTTGGACATCCCCTGGGCCTGATCGAAAATCACTTATGAGAGTATTCCACTCGATGGCAGTCAAAGCGGGTATGCCCGGTAATGGCATCATACGCAAACTATCCTCTTGCAAAGAACAAATGTCTTCGAAAGCAAGCTCCAGCTCGCCAGCTACAAGTTCCGGCAGCAGCTTGCCAGCCATGGGGCACACGAAGCACCCCTTCCCAAAGTGTTCCTCCAAGCACTTGCGGCGCTGATGGCTGCTCAGCTTCTGCAACAGCTTGCGATGACAAACGCAAGCCTCGGAGCCACTCGCCAAAGCCTCAGGGATCTCCTCAAGCTTTAACGCCATTGCCACATAAGAATGGAAAAGGGAGCTGCGCACGGCAACAGTAATCCTGGCGGGGTCCAGAGCGGTGAGACCTTGCCTGGCTTGCTGGGCCTGCTCTGCTTGTGCCTGAGCAGGACGGCCGACCCCACTGGCGTTTACGCCCCGAACATAGAAGTCCTGGTCCCAAGATCTTGCAAGGATGGGCAGGAGCGGCTCGAGATGCTTGAGAAAAAGAATGACCTGATGCCACCGGCCTTCGTAAAGGCTTGCAGAGAATCTGCGGAATTTGAATGATGGGCTCTCCAGGTTTGTTCCGTGAAGGCATGTCCACACATAGCGTTGCCTTCTCTCATCTATCCGCAGCAATGCCTCTAAGCACTTTAGGTCACTGTGAAAATTGTGCCAGTGGGACATTGATTGATGCACGTCTGAACATAGGTTATCGACGACGTGCTGCATGCCTGCAATGGGGAAAGCTCGCGGCATGAAGTGCGTAGTGCCTTGGTCAGCCTGGGCCTGGGCTTCAGGTGCATCTGCGTCAGCATGCGGAGCTGCATCACCCGCAGCACGCCCAACATCATCATCATCACTTAGCAAGGCACCATCAACATCATCTGCACAGTCTGCGCCCATGACATGAGGAGCTGCATCGACATCTGCTGGTTGCAACAATCCACAGACCCTGAAAGCTTGAAATCTGGCAGAGAACACTCAACCCCCATATCACTGCAGTGGGCAACGTAAGAGGCGCTGTGCTGGGACAAAGCTGCAATTGAAGGGGATTGCAACTGCCACTTGTACACCTCGCTGGCAGCTTTGTCTGCCAAGGACCTATGGCCACTTCCCAACGCGGCAGGTGGATGGATGTGCTCAAAAATGCTATCGTTGATCACCTGCAACCATGGCTTCCACTCAGGAAGTGGCAGCAGTGGGAGTGCCTCGGGCACATCATCAGTCGCCTCCTGCTCATCATGTTCTGCCACAAATGCAGAAATTGCAAGGCTCAATTTGCGAACAGATGAGAAGCATCTCACAAGCTTGGACTCGGGAATCTCATGATATTGAGACCAGATCCAATCATAACCGGCTAGAGAGGATGAATCGGTCCACCCGACCCTGATGCACATGTGCGCTGCTCGTTTCTTCGCCAGCAGCAACAAAGCAGCATCAAGAGCAATCTCATAGCGACTGATCAAGGAGGCACTCGGCAAAACTTTGGCAGAGGTCGGCTTGCACATGCTTTTGACGAACGGCTCACGCAAGAACTCAGGCAGGACTGTTGAAAGCGATTGCGCAATGACTTCTGCCAAAGAACCCGGCCCGCCCTTCACAAGAAAACTGAGGCGAATGCAATCCAATAACTTCCGGGAGTTATGCCTAAATCGAGATCCGCCACCCGCAAGATTTACCATTCCCATAGCCTGACGCCACGAAAATGTCCATTTGTCCAAAGTTGTCAGAACCAGCTGCAAATCATGCTGAACACTTTCGGGATCTTGTTCGGGAGCTTCAGGGTGATTCAACAAGACTGGGGCCCAACCTCGTATCATGCTTGCAAATCGTTCAAGCGTGTCTGCAGTCAATGGCAAGGCATGCGCCGCCTCTGCCTCATCAGGCGGCTTGCTGTGTTGGCCACATCGCTGCCAAACTTCAGCATCGCCTGGCGGCCAAGTTGGGATGGGGCCTAAGGGTCGACGATGCCGGTGCTGATGAAGAGTTTTGTGCCATCGAAGCAGAACCAAAACGGTTGACCAACAACGTCTTGTTGTCAAGTAAACGAGAGGCCAAGGCATCAGTAGAACTGGTAGTTCACTTGCGGTGTACTCCCCACCACATGAATCAAGAAAGTCTTTGGCAGTCATCTGTGCCCCAGTACTTGTGCGTAGCACAATCTGCCCTGCGCTACTCTGATGATCACCCAGACCAGAATCACCGCCCCAGTGGGCAATGAAAAGTGGGTGATTTCGATCTACTTTGCTCAAACCACCCAAGCCACAAATGCGGCTCCTCTTGTGATTGATAGCGATGGCATCGATGCATGTGTGAACATCTTCAATGCACAAGCTGTAACAATCACTTGGCAGCCCGTAGTAGATACGTTGAATAAGGGCCTCCCGATTCCAGTTCGTGAGAGCCCCTTGCTCGAAGACGCAGTTTCTGGCAGAAAGCCGAAGCAAACCATGAACTCTCAGATCATCTGCAGGAACACGATCTTGAAAAGAATACAGTACTGACTTATGAAAATCAGGCCCACCTTGCTCTTGCAGCAAATCGCAGAGCCAGTCACTTGGCTCGATGCTCCGCCGCACACGCTTTGCACCAGGATTGGTGTCTGGAGGGCGCACACGTGAGCTCCCATCCAAGAACGACCCAAGCCACACGAAGCACGACATCTGCACCGTGCGAAACAGCAACATCTACACCGCTCTGCTCGTTAATATGACTAGCATGCTCTTGGAATAGGGACACGCATTCAGGATACGTTTCGGGGGCATGCTAAGCTTCCCTAAACTTTCCTAAACTTGCTGTACTCAGTGCGACGGAAAGGAAGCCGAAGCTGCTCCTCTTCTCTTGGCCTGTCCTGGAATTCAGTTAGCACAAAAAGCCTTGAGAGAAAGCCAGCCCGGCCGGCCACACGCCGATAAGGATCAGGGTTTGTGGTCTGAATTTGGGAAATTTGGGGTTAGGGGCTGGGGTTTGCGGTTGTACTACGTGCACGGCACGGACTTGCCTATTGTCCTTAATCTTACTACGTGCAAGGCGCTCCTATAATTCTCAGCACTATAACCCGAACCCAAGCCTACTCAGCGCAAGGCGCTCCTATAAATTTTCAGGACTCAGCACTAACCTAAGCCTAAGCCTACTCAGCGCAAGGCGCTCCTATAAATTTTCAGGACTCAGCACTAACCTAAGCCTACTCAGCGCAAGGCGCTCCTACAAATTCTCAGCACACTAGCCTAATCAAGCCTACTTTTTTTAGGCGGCTAGCGCAAGGTGCTCTTATCAAGCATTGCTGCTGTCACACAATGCACGGGGCAAGGGGGCCACTGCTTTTTTCACGGAGTGCCATAGTACCATGCATTGTAATACGGCAGAAATCTACCACCCCTTTCCCTTCGGATGCGCTTCGGCTCCGGGGCTCCGCTTTCCGATGGCTGAATCCTTGCAGGCACCACTTTGGGTGCAGGGGCTGCAAGCCTCGGGGTGCTGCTGGCACTCGGATGCACGCTGGAAGCAGGCGCAGTGGCGGGAGTCGAAGTCGAAGCAGCAGCCCCCGCCGTCGCCCCCGTCGAAGTGGCAGCGGCCGTCGAAGTGGCAGCAGTGGCAGCCTGCCCAGCCGGCAAATCATCAGGCTCTCTTGGCGATGCCACCGATGTGGAATGCTCCGACGACGACACGCCCGAGGTCACGGTCGAAGACGAAGACTCCATGAATTCAGATTCATACGGCCAGGTCTCGTCGAAAGGCGTGGAATAGCCGGGCTTCAGCCTGAACTCTGCATCCCTCAGCCCAGCTTTGGCCTCCAGCTTGAACAGGACCATGGCTCCTGCCTCAGCCCGGATCCGGCTGATGCCATGAAAGAGAGGAGACGCCATCACACTCAAAGGGCTACATTACATGCGACGTGGTTATGTCGGTTGTGTAAAACTTTTACAGGCCAAGGGCTTTGAATTGCGGGTGCTTTAAATCCTTCATCCTTCTAAGAGGGCTGCAGGCTGCACTGCAATTTGAGCAATTTGAGCCCGGCGCGCGCGCCACTCGTGGACAACGGACAAAGCTTCCAGGCAGCCGAGCTACAGCCACACAGCGACAGCGATTCGAACCGCTCAGCACAGCTGTGGCGTTCTGAATATATCCACCGCCACCGCCCTCCACCCCAAATCCCATCCAGCCCAACCATTTTGATCATGAACACCTCCAATCTTCAATGCATTGTGTTCCAAACCACAAGAAGTGGCCGGATCAGGTATTACATGCTCACTGACGACAAACCATGTTGGTAGGTGTCCCGGGGTGTTTTTACCAGTGCCGGACCAGCACGTCCAGCGGCTCTTCGATG